TTTTCTTCATCATTATCATCAGCTTCATATACTTCACAATCATCATCATTACAATAAAAATCATCGTCCTCATCGCCATCACAATCATCATTACCATCACAATCATCATCACCATGGCAGATAGTTGCCCGCCACCACATATGGACATGATTGCACGGACACTGGAAACTTGTTGACCGTGAACACTGATAAAGCTGCTTCTAGATGCCGACAATGAATTATTCCACACACACACACACACCACGTACACGCACACACACTAACACGCACATACATATACACTCACTCGCATACTCGCACTTAAAATAAACACCAATCATACACATACATACATACACACACACACACACACACATTAAAATATGCTACACTTATAATTCAAAAAAGGAATGATAATCTTAATTATGAAATAATTAATCGCATAATTAATAATTAAATTTTTTTTATAAAAATAGAGAACAATAAAATATTAACTTGATGGTTCTTATAACGAGCAAGCAGACTGAAATGAAATCTAATGAAAAATCACAGTAGGTCAGAACAATTAAATTTGGCCTACAAAAATTTTAGCATGCAAAATATTATTGGAGTTTTTCTAGCTGTTTTGACGACAACACAAACAAAAAAATACTGGAAAGACTGGAGAACATTCCACACACGTAGACTTGGATATTGAACTTTAAGGAAATTAATTGAGGGGCTGACGGTATCGTCGTCGTCATCGCTGTACCCAAACTTCGGTGCAAAACAGTATTGTATGTTTGTTTTTTTGCATGCCTGTTTGTATATTTATTGTATGTTTGTTTGTTTGTTCGTATGTTTGTTTGTTTGTTTTTTGTGTATGTTTGTCTATTTGTTGTGTATTTGTTTGTGATGTTTATTCTTTATGCGATTTTATTTTCACGTTTGTATATTTTTGTAATTTATTGAATGTTACGTAGTTTATATATATTTTATAAATGCTTTTATTTACTGTATGTTTGTTTGTTCATTGCATGTTTGTATTTTTGTCTTTGTATTTATTGGATGTTTTTATATATTGTTGTATATTGTGTTAATCTGTGTTGATTTCTGTGATTTCATGTCTTGCTAGCATGCGTCTGTGTTAACTGCATAAGTAAGTAGCACACTATATTGATGTATTTTTTAATATAGGTATGAATGCTGCTGTTTTTAGAGTTGTGTTGTATTGCTTGCTTAATGTGTGTGTGTTATGAACAATATGTGTCTGTACGTTTTGTTATTTCTATTGTTAATTATTTTTATGGTTGTTATTTCTATTGTTAATTATTTTTATGGTTCTATTTGAAATTGCCTCAACTGTAGATAATAATTATGTACATTGTTCGTCCTTAAAAATGAATATTTTTATGAGGGGTGTGGCGTATTTTTTCATGCTCGCATTGTTCGTTTAACAGACCTAATTATGTAGGAGAACGAACACATTCATTCCTTCATTCAGTTGTTTTCTTTTATCCTCAACTGTATACATGCACTCACCAACAGAACGATAAACAATGGCTCCACACACACACGCAAACACACGCACACTCACACACGCGCACGCACGCACACACACATCCCTACTCCGAACATAAGGCACACGTCACGGATTTAGTGACGTCATTTTAGTGTCGACCAATCGAACGACCGACACAGCAGCAGAAAAAAAAACACTGAATATATAAAAGATAACAACCCGCCGCAGAGATTAGCGTCAAAAAATTATTGATGTACAATCCTAGATTTGCAGATTTGAAGCGCCGTATTCTGAGGGGCGGAAATAAGCGCTATAAAAATATTATTTTTATTTTATTTCATTTTAATCTATAAAATATTGACGCCGTTTATTCTATCAATTATGATGTAATTGTATCAACAATTATTTATTAAGTACCGTAAATGAAAATAATTGAAATATCTTCACCCTAGTTGTGAATTATTGACTTTAAGTTCTACTTAATTCTTCGTCGAATCTAAAATATAACCGGCTGTTGAGACGGTGTGATAGTTATAGAGTTGCTCTTCTGTGTGTGTGTTTGATTGAATGTTAGTGTATCTCCGTAATAAAATATTAATTTAGATAATATAACACATATAGGCAGAGTAATTTAATAATGGATAAACACTTTGATTGTAGTAAAATGTTATAGTAGTTGTAGCATTAATACTAGTAGTTGTAGTAGCAGTTGTAGTATTAATTGTAGTAGTAGTTGCAGTAGTAGTAGTAGTAGTGGTGTAGTAGTAGTAGTAGTAGTAGTAGTAGTAGCAGTGGCAGAAGCGGTTGTAGTAACTATCTCAATAGAACGATCCATCATCTTCGTCACTGGACAATTACTTGTTAGGCCGCTTGTAAAGCAACAATTAACAGACAAAATACGCGCTAAAACATTTTGCAGTATTTTTACTGCCACTGTCACTATTCTACCACTACTACTACTACTTTTACTACTACTATTACTACCACTACTACTAATACAACTACTACTTCAATTACTACTACTACTACTACTACTACTACTACTGCTACTACTACTACTACTTTTACTGCTGCTACTACAACTAACTACTACTACTAATATTTTTACTGCTACTGCTACTACTAGCACTACTACTACTACTAAATTAGTAGTATTAGTACTGCTACTACTACTACTACTACTACTACTACATTAGTAGTAGTAGTAGCAGCAGTTATTTATTAAATAAGCAGTATTGTTTTGTACAGCATCGTCGACCGCTGTCGAACACTTGTTGCTGGCTCCATTCATAAATTTCTTCAACATTCAAGGGATTAGCGATTGAGCGCTCCAGTCATCAAATATTCAGAAAAAATTATTCCAATCCTACCATTACTCATGTTACGAAACACATGTGAACCCTTTACCAAATTTTCTACACGCTCTTACACGCGCACACGCACACCACACAGACACACACACGCACACACACATGAGTAAAATAAAACGTGGAAATATGAATAGAATGATAAACAATGGGGTAGGAGCATTTAAAATAAATCAATTAATCAATCGAGATATAAATATATCAGGATACAAATGTATCAGGATACAAATGTATCAGGATACCAGTGTATACTGTATACCAGAGTAAATAAGCAAACATGTAAATGTATCAATCAACAATGATGTAATGATTAATGTATCTATGGAATGTTGTGATGCGGTACGTGCTTCTCGCAGATACCGCTGTCTAAAAAAGACAGGCTACTTGTTTAAACAGACAGACAGACAAACACACACAGACAGACAGTCAGACAGACAGAAAGACAAACAGACAGACACACACAGAAAGACAGACAGACATAAACATGTGATACGATTCGATGTAATAGGATATATTCATTTACTTCCAAACAAAATTAAGAAGAGTTATGTTCGAGTTATCGAATAGCTCATCAGAAAGCATGGCCACTTTGCAAAATGTTAACAGATTGTGGATTAGTTCAATGAAACAAAAATGAAACAACTTGAGACAGTAATTTAACTGATGGCCCTTGAAAAGACAATACTTAAAATCAATTACGCTTCATCTGTGAAACGTTCTTCAATTTTTTTTAAGTGAACTCTGGCACTTGAACACACACAAACACACACACACAAACATACACACACACAAACACACACGTACAAACACACACACACGTACAAACACACACGTACAAATACGCACAGATACGTACAAGCAAAAACAACAACGGACACTGAAACATAAATGGATGTACAAAATTGCTACGGTTAAGGATTATACTAAGAGATAAATAGATTTGAACTCGCTCACTCTACGTTTGTGTTCCATTTATGTGTTTTTATGGATGTTTTTTTGAGTGCGTGTGTCTATGTACTGTACATGTGCGTATGTGTATGTTTGTACTACTTTGTGTTTGTGTGTGTGTACGTATGTATATATGTATGTTGGTGTCTATCTGTGTGTCTGTATTTTTATTTGTTTACCAGTTGTATAATTGTTATTTTGTATTTTGTATTTGTTTGTGGTTTATTGTGTTTAGGTGTAAACAAGTTTTTTAATAAGATGTTACATGTTGGTATGTGTTTGCATGTGTGTGCGTGTGCATGTTTGTGTGTGCGTGTGTGTAAGCTTTTATGCATAGCTCTTTGGGCAATTAAGTGTGGATTGAAATGGGTGTATTTGAGTTTTAAAACCTCCATCCAACCATTCATTCACTCGTTTATTCATTAATCTGCTTATGTATTTTGTCATCCGCTCATCCACCCTTTCGTTCACTCATTCATTCATTCGTTCGTTCATTCGTTCATCCATTCGTTCGTTCATTCATTCATTCATCTGTTAATTCATCCGTCCATTAATATATTCATTCATTCGTTCTCTTATTTGTTCATTCATTCTTTTCAATTGCCCGTTAATTCAATTTTTTTTCTTGAGTTACTACTTTGCGGTTAATTCTATCCTTTGTTCATTTTTCCATCCATTCATCTATCTATCTATGCATTCATGCATATCCATTCATTTATTCATCCATCCATTCATCCATCCATCCATAATGGATTTATTAAACGTCTTTGGTGTTAACTTTATTTCTCCTTCGGTTTAAAAGTGAAGTTACGCTTTATGACGTGTTCTCTGACTTAATTGTCTTTGCTTTATGCCAGCGTCAAATTTCTATGTTAGTTACAATGTGATGGTAATGATTGCGATGATGATGATGATGACGATGACGATGATGATGATGATGCGTTATAAACAAACAAAATGTACAAAAAGAAAAACGATGGTATTAACAATGATATAATTATACTGATGACTACGACAATAATAATAATAATAATAATAATAACAACAACAACAACAATAATAATAATAACAACAACAGCAACAACATCAACAACAACAGTAATAATAATAAGAAAAAGAAGACTAACTAGATTATAAGTAATAATAATAACAACAACAATACTACTACTACTACTACTAATGATAGTAAAAATAATTATCAGAAATCACAAACCGGCATCAGACGTGTAGACGGTCCCGGGACATTTTTTAAACCGGAAACGGTACTTACTTCCGGCCGAGCAGGGATGAGCCGTGGAGGGTGGGGTCCGGCAGAAACCCCCTGAATGATTGCTGTACACAAACTGATAGTCCCCACTATAACCGCGATCATCATCATCGTCGTCATCGTCGTCTTCATCGTCATCCTCACCGCCTTTGTAATAACTCGCATTATTGTAGTTGTCGTAATCATCATTATTATTATTATTATTATTATTATTATTATTACTATTATTATTATGACTACTTTTACTTTTATTTTTGTTGCTATTATGGCCGTTTTTATAGATAATATTATTGTTATGAATAATTTTGTTATTCTTATTGTTCTGATTGATTGAGCGGTACAAAATCTTGGCATCCTTCTTTTTTATTTCCTTCACTCCTTCACTCTCTCCATCATCATCATCATCATCGGCATCTTTTTTGTACCGATTCCCATTAAAATCAACATCATCGTTGTTGTCATCGTCATCGCCTTCATCTTCATCTTCATCATCATCTTCCATTTTTGTTTCTTTATTGAATGGGCATTGAATTGGAACTGCATTAACTTGAAATGGCGATGATGACGATGATGACGACGACGATGATGATGTTGATGATGATGTTACTGTTGATGATGATGATAATGATGCTGTTGTTGATGATGATGATGTTGGCGATGATGATGATGGTGGCGATGATGGTGTTTTTGTTGATGATGGCGACGATGATGACGATAATATCATAATCAACAATATCTTTATTATTTAACATAATTGTCAACCTCAAAACCATCATCATCATCATCATCATCATCATCATCATCATCTTCATCATCATCATCATCAGTATCGTCTTCATCATCATCATCATCATCATCAGTATCGCCTTCATCATCATCATCGTCGTCGTCATCGTCTTCATCGTCATCATTCTCATCATCATCGTCATCATCACCAACTTTATTAACGGTTTTATTATTGAACCGGAAGTAATACCTCGAACAAGAGTTTTCAAAATGGCGTCCGTTCGTATGGAATTGCACGTGGCGGCCAGCGATTGTCTGTGTGTGCAATGGCCTATAATAATTTATAATAATAATAATAATAACTATAATCATAATAACAACAACAATAATAAAAATTCAAATAATAAAAAAAATAAAACAACATGATAATACACATTATTATTATTATATTAATAATATTATAGTAGTAGTAAGAGTAGAAGTAGGTGTAGTAGTAGTAGTAGCAGTAAGTAGTAGTAGTAGTAGTAGTAGTAGTAGTAGTAGTAGTAGTAGTAGTAGTATCTATAAACGTGAAATTTTAAACAAAAATACATCCCAAAAAAACTCTTAAATAAGCGAATAAGACAAACAAACAAACAAACAAATATCAAAACATCCAAACAAACATACCTAAAAACAAACAGGCAAACAAACATCTAAACAAACAAACAATCATTCATCCACACATGCCAGCATACAAACAAACAAACCAACATACATACACACATACCAAACAAAGCATACATCAAAACCAACGAACGCACTAATAAACCCCCACACAAGCAAAAAAACCCCCAAAAAAATCTAAACACACAACCATAAAAAAGCAAGAAAACGTAAACAAACACGCCAAAAACACTAAATAAACAACATAGACAAACAAAATACGACATACATAGATACAAAAACAGAAGAAACAAGCGATAATTCGTTAAGTTAATCGTGCATTTCATGTCTTATGTCCAACGATCAATCATAAAGTTTGTGCTAATTTGATGGCGGTTTGTGATGAAGAGGAAGACGATGACGAGGACGGTGGTGATCATGATGAGGATGAAAAATAAAGGATGATGTATTTACTGGAGCATTAGTATTTAGAGAAGCGTTAATATTGGCTTTGAAAGTAGGAGTACTACTCATCACAACCACTACTACTACTGCTACTACTACTACTACTGCTACTACTACTACTGCTACTACTACTACTACTGCTACTACTACTACTGCTACTACTACTACTACTACGGCTACTACTACTACTACTGCTACTACTGCTGCTTCTGCTACTATTACTACTACTACTACTACTACTACTACTACTGCTACTACTACTACTACTAATACTACTACTACTACCACTACTACTGCTACTACTACTGCTACTACTACTACTACTACTACTACTACTACTACTACTACTGCTATTAGTAGTTGTAGTAGTAATGGTTAATGGTAATATTATTAGTAACAAATTGTTGAATTATAACAGGATTATTATTAGAAGTAGCAATGAAAGTACCAAAAGCAGTAGTTGTTGTTGTAATAGCAGTAGTTGTAGCAGTAGTAGTAGTAGTAGAAGTAGTAGTAGTAGTAGTGGAAGTAGAAGTAGTAGTAGTAGTCGTAGTAGTAGTAGTAGTAGTAGTAGTAGTAGTAGTAGTAGTTGGAGTGGTAGTAGTCGTCGTCGTAGTAGTAGTAGTAGTAGTAGTTGGAGTAGTAGTAGTAGTAGCGACGGAAATAGTACTAGCATCAGAAATATAAGATTAGGCTTTAATAATTAATTACAAAAGGCGACACCTACGTTATGACGTCACTATTGAGAAAAAAAAACAAATTTACGGCAAGAAAATAAATTACATTCAAACTATCGGACCTCTTTTCTATATCTGCTTTTACATATACCCAGGAGTGTGTATATATATAAATATAAATATATATATATATATATATGCGTGTGTGTGTGTGTGCGTGTGTACGTGTGTGTGTTTGATTATTTGTATGCAAAATTGGTATACTTATATATGCAAATCACCGACAAACGTATGCATAAGCAGATGGATTAGTATATGAATAAAATCCTACCAGCATTTATACACAAAAATACATTTAAACAAGTATGTATAAATATGCTACAAATAGATCAAATATACAAACATACAAACTTCAACATACATACATGCATACAAACATAAAAATATATAAACAAAATTCGAACAGACTTGTTTAAAAATACAATCAAATATACAACATAATAACATACTTACAAATACAAAAACTTCACAGATATTAATACAGACGAACAAACATACAAATATGAAAACATACAAAACATACAAACATAAAACATACAAACAAAACGAAAAGAATTCAAGGCGTTTCTTCCTGTGTATATCATGTATTGGAAAATTGAGTTACCTATATTCCGTTAACATACAACAGTGATGACCGCAAGTTTATTTGTGTATGTATGTATATGTTTGTTTGTGTTTTTGTGTTTATATACAAATATTTGTATATGTATGTTTGTATACTTTTATTTTTATACATATGCTTCTATGTGCGTTAGCATGCATAATGTATGTTGGTACAATTTTGTATATGTATGTTTGCACATTTGAGTTTGTATACATATGTTTGTGTGTATGTTTGAATTTATGTACTTTCTGAGTATATAGTTCTGTATACAATTTTTTATTTATATCTTTGTATATATACATAATGCATATATATTCATATGCCGGTATACATAAGTTTGTATGTACATATATAATGGTGTTAGTAGGGTTTTGTATATATTTATATAAATTCATAAAACAACATAAACAAAAATATTTGTATATGTTGTATTTGTTTGTATACAATGTAAACAACATATACAAACTAATATAACATATACAAACATGTTTGTATATGTTGTATTTGTTTGCATACAATGTACAAAACGTATACAAACAAATATAACATATACAAAAGTGTTTGTATATGTTGCATTTGTTTGTATAGAATATACAAAGTACGATATACTAACTTTCTTTGTATTGGAGAACGTTTGTATGCCTGGCTATGATGTCGATACATAGGAAACAATTCTCCGACCTGATATGGAGATGATGATGATGATGGTAGGATGATGACGTTCATAGTGGCGTAATGATGGTGATGTTCATCTGTTGGTCATCTTAATTAAATGGTTACTCATTATCCCCATCATCATCAACACCATCATCATCATTATCAATAGCATCCTCATCAATATCCTCATCATCATTATCATCATTATCAATATCATCATCATCATTATAATCATCATCATCAATATCATCACCATCACCAACATCATCATCAACATTATCACCACTGGTATTTCAAACTTAACCATACTAATACTACAGCTTCGACTACCGCTCTACAAAAGTACCATTTACTTTCCAATTGATACATCATTACTACTACTACTACTACTACTACTACTACTACTACTACTACTACTACTACTACTACTACTACTACTGCCAATAATAATAACAACAATAACATTCCACATACTTTATGCGTGCAGAAATATTTTCAATATGTTATATATACGCAGCCGTTAGTTTTCTGATAAAAATGATGATGATGATGACGACGATGAGGATGATGATGATGATGATGACGACGATGAGGATGATGATGATGAAGACGACGACGATGATGACGACGATGATGATAACGATGATGATGACTATGACGATGATGATGATGACCGGCGGTTAATGAAATGTGTACAGATGAAAGCTAAATCTATTATACAAACTAAAAAACCATTAATTTATTTTGTAAAAGTATAAATATATATATATATATATATGTATATAAGTATTTATATGTTTATATAAATATATATATATAGTATTATGTGTACAATACATATATAAGTATATTCTACACAAATTTCTATGTATATGTAACGCAAACAACGTACGCAGAAGCACATACAAAAATTCATCTTCCTTGCATACAAATTACTTACATAAATATTCATTAATCAAAATATGCATATATACATACGTACATACATACATACGTACATACATACACTATATATAAAATTATAGGGAGGTGAAAATATATACATTATAATTTATATGAATTTTTCCACAAAACTAAAATCAAATCAAATTAAATCATAAAATTTCAGATGTTGGATGTCTGTAGACAGACATAAAATGTCAAAACGGAATGTTGAAACAATGAAGCAAGCGGTCAGGCCAAACGTCAGCCGCTAATTCATTCCCCTGTCGTCTTAATATCCAAACAACCGGACTATCACTAAATAATTCATTTATTAAATAATAATAATAAAGTCTAAATAATAACACGCATACATAGAAACAAAATAAAGAAACAAACACACACACACAGGCGTGTTGACACGCACATGCACGCACGCACACACACGCACGCAAACACACACGCATAAGACGCTCTAATGACGTAGTGGTCAGGTGACATGGATGCCGCAGACGGTCGCCATGACGACGACCACCAGAACACCGGAAGTGCAAAAAAACCAAAGAAATACAAGAAGGTTAAAAAATAACAAAGAACAAATAGCAGTGTGCTAAGGGCTATCTTGTATTTTTCGCTTCTTTGTTTTTGTTGTCTTATTGTTTTTATTCTTTCTTTCACTGTGACAAATCCATTTATTTACTAAATTTATTTGTATTTGAATGAAAAAATTATAACATAATAATAATAATAATAATTATGACGATAATGATGATGATAATGATAACTTTGCCATCATCATCATCATCACTACGCGAACCAAACGAAAACGTAACGAGACAATTATTATTATTATTATTTTATTATTGTTATTATTATTATAGCTTTTTAAAATGCTTAAAATTAGAAAAATTGAAGAAAGCATCAAGACAACTATCGAGTGAAAGAACGAACGAATAGATAAATGAATGAAGGAATGAGTGAGTGAATAAATTATATTACGTATGCATGTACGTATGCATGTATGTATGTGTGTGTGTGTATGTATGTATGTTAAAACCAAATCGTGATGAATGACACCAAACAGTCAAACATCTGATTAAAAGGGTTAACACTTTAATGTATCGTTAGCGACACACGTCGGCGTTTAAATTAATATTTTCCGACACACAAACACGCAGAAATCGCTGCAACAAACACGAGATGCGGTTTATTGCAAAAAAGAACTCTCTGTTGTCACCTGACCGAACACCAATCATTTTACACAATGTATTAATAAATTTTGAAGTATTCGGGTCCATGGGTCCAAGGACCTCGATACATATAGGCAAAAAATCTAAGGAAGGCAGGGCGTGTTCATATTTTTTAATTTTTTCGTCCAATGCCCTGATTGCAGCCAAACCACATTCTTTGCTGGTAAGGTGAACGTAGCGCTCGGCCAAGGTACCAGGAACCGTAACATCCCAAGCCAAACATTTACCGGCTCTCCAGGGATGTATGTATGTATGTATGTATGTATGTATGTATGTATGTATGTATGTATGTGTGTGTGTATGTGTGTGTGTGTTTATGTACATGTGCGTGCATATGACCATTTATACGTTCGTGTGTATGTGTTTTAGGAGCGCTATATTGATTTTCATGACATCGACCTAATTAAGAAAATAAGTCCGTCACGTGATTGCTCACGTCATCCTCATTCTCCTCATCATCATCATCATCACCATCATCACCATCATCATCATCATCATCACTGTCATCATTATCATCCTCATCTTACTCATCATCATTATTGTCCTCGATATAAAATATTTACCAAATATCTTGGTAATCGTCATCATCATCACCCTCATCATCATCATCATCATAGTCATCGTCATCATCATCATCAACATCGTCGTCGTCATCATCGTCATCATCATCATCATCGTCAATAATAATAATAATAATAGTAATATAATAATAAAATAATGCATGCAAACAAATAATAATAATGATAATAATAATAATAAAAAGAAAATTTAGAATGAGAACAATAATAATAATAATAACAATCATCATCATGAACATTACCCGCCATCAATACACATCATTTATCATTTAGGGATGTTCATTCTTTATCTTATTCTCTCACTCTCTCTCACTCTCTCTCACTCTCATTTTTTTCCCTCATTTTATTTTTTTGTTATATTTCTCTCTCCCTCTCTCTTTCTTTCTTTTTTTCTTTCTTTCTTTCCTTCTTTCTTTCTTCTACTTCCTTTTCTCCATTATTCTTTGTCATTTTTCCGCCACCACCTTTTTTCCATAGTTTTACTCCATTTTTCCTCACCCTCCTCTTTTCCATCATGTTTCTCTCTTTGCCTGAATGCTGTTTGTTTGTAAATTGTATATATACATGTCTGTTTGTATGTCTGTATGTATGTATTTATGTATGCATGCATGCATGTATATTTGTATGGTGTGTATGTGTGTATGTTTGTTTGTGTGTGGGTGGTGTACGTGTGTGTATGTGTGAGGTGTGTGTGTGTGTGTGTGTGTGTGTGTGTGTGTGTGTGTGTGTGTGTGTGTGTGTGTGTGTGTGTGTGTATGTGGTGTGTGTATTAGAAGCATTACATCGAGCAGAAGAAAAAGCAAGCGCATTAGTGTTGGAGGTTTGTGTTTGTTTTTAGAGTGGTGCAATTAATTAAGTTTGTTACAAGATCTTATATGCTGTAGTATCGTTTCATTCTTTCATCTTTCCTTCTGTCCATCTTTTAATTCATCCACTCATTCGTTTTTTTGTCCGTCCGACTTTCTGCCTGTCTGTCCATCTATCTTTCTATCCATCATTGCCACATAAATCCATTCATCTCTCCTGATATCTATCTATCCATCTAACTATCCATCCAATCATATATCCATACATCTATTCATCTATCCATCCATCCATTCATCCATCTATCCATCTATCTATTCATTTATCCATTCATACATCCATCCGTCCGTCCATCCCACCCATCTATCAAATGGTCGATTAATTAAAACCGCATGAATTAAACAGAAATTCATAACAACAACGACCTCATGAATACAACAACAACATAGACACAACAACAACAACAACATAGATACAACAACAACATAGACACAAAACAACAACAACATAGATACAACAACAACATAGACGCAACAGTAACATAGACGCAATAACAAGAGCATAGACACAAAAACAACATTAACACAACAACAACATAGACAGAACAACAACATAAACCCAACAACAACATCAACATAGATACAACAACACTGATGCAAACACAACAACGGCAGGGACAGTACAAAGGAGAGAGTTCAAAAGCGAAATTGAAAGTCAAATATTTCCAACAAGATGCATTTTCTATTCATCCATTAATTCATTTCTTCATTCATTCATTCATTCATTCATTCATTCATTCATTCATTCATTCATTCATTCACTCATTCAATCATTCACTCATTCATTCATTCATTCATTCACTCAATCATTTATTTATTTTAGTACTAAAAATTTCAGGATTTTAAAGTTGTCATCAAATTTTACTGGCAAAAAATGAATGAATGATATTAATATTTATTATTATTATTATTTATAATTATTATTAATTATATTATTATTATTTATTATTATTATTAATTATATTATTATTATTTATTATTATTATTAATTATATTATTATTATTTATTATTTATTATTATTTACTTTTATGGTTATTGTTATCACATCCATACTCCTAGGATCGAGCATAAATTGTGTTGCTGAGCGCACAATTGATTTTAATATTTTTGCACCGGTCCGTCCCGACATAAATTTATGTGTCTGTGTGTGTGTTACGTGTGTATGTATGCGTGTGTACGTGTGTGTGTGATTAAATAAATGAAGGAATGAATGAATGAATAAAGGAAGGAATGAATATATAAGCTAAAAAATAAGTAAATTATATTTATACATAAGTAAATATACACACATTTAATGAGCACTAGAATTATTTAAACAAACTTTTTTCTTGTAGCACTTTCGATCTTCAGTCTTTCTTTCTTTCTCACACACTCTCTCTCTCTCTCTCTCTCTCTCTTTCTCTCTCTTTCTCTCTCTCTTTCTCTCTTTCTTCTTCCTTTTTCCTCATTTATTTAATCTCTCACGCTTTCTGGGCAAATATTTGCTCTGTAGCAATTTTAATTTGTCGTCAGTTATATAAAGAAGCATTTAAATGACTGCCGTGAAGCCTTTTAAATCTATCGAAATAAATGAATAATAAGAATGTGAAACACCAAACACCAACACACACATGCACACACAAACACACACAAACACACAATAATTAAAAAGGCACTATTTAAAGATATAAAACACACACACTATAATAATTAAAAAAGAAATAAATTTATTTTATTATTCTTATTTATAATTTTTGGGTCCAGACGAGTAAATATGGCCGACACTCGATAAGGTTTCTCGTCCGGTTTTATCCGGCAAAGTAGGGATGAGCGTTTTAGGCGTCGAGGTGGCCTGGCCGCTGCAATGTGCGATAGGAGTGCGCTTTTGTATTGGTGTGTGTTGTGGTGTGTATTGTGGTGTGTATTGTGTGTGTTGTGGTGTGTTTTGTGTGTGTTGTGGTGTGTATTGTGGTGTGTGTTGTGTGTATTGTGGTGTGTTGTGGTGTGTTTTGGTGTGTATTGATGTTTGCGTATCGGTGTTTATGAACGCGTGTGTGAGTGATTTTCATGAGCTCTCTAACGAATAATTTTCAAATGGGTTTTCCATTTTCATGCTGCTGATGTTTTCAGATTGCAGAGATTTAAAAAAAATTCATTTCATTGGAGAAATCATCTCTCCGTACATGAAGCTTATGTTGTTGTTGTTGCTCTTGCTGTTGTTGTTGTTGTTGGTAGTGGAGTTACGTGATGTTATTGGTGTTGTTTGTCATTTGAGAATGGGGATGTTGATGACGTTGATGTTGTATACACGATGTTAATGTCATTATTTATGGTTTTTGAGTTTCGCAGAGATGAGTTTCGAACCAGATCATGGCGCAAATGCGTTAAGACTCCTAACCGTCCGATCTATCTAACACGTGTAATTAAATTAATATAACTTTATTTATTACTTCAAATAAACAGTTATTAAATATGCTAACTTATTATAAAGGACAAAAAATTGGTTTTCCATCTCCAGGCAGATCCCTAATTTAGTGATAACCTTTGACCTCAGGTCAATCAAGCCAAGTTCACCTTCGTACCATTTTCCGTGCCAGGATGGCGGTAATATGCAGTTATTGTTGTTGTTGATGTTGTTGTTGTGGTTATTGCTGATGTTGTTGTTGTTGATGTTGTTGTTAATGTTGTTGTTGATGTTGTTGTTGATGTTGTTGTTGTTGTTGATGTTGACGATGATTGTATTAAAATAGTTACTAGCATTATTAATGTGACCAGTGTGTCCAGTATTGATTTTGTTGATGTTGTCCTTTTGAGTGCTAATTAAACTACTGTTGTCTATAACTATTTTGTCGCTAATTTCGTTGTTGTTGTTGCTGATGTTGTTGTTGTTATGGGTGTTGTTAAAACTACTTGTTTTGTTGTTATTGTTATTGTGGTAGTTGTTGTTGTCGGAATGTTTATGCCCGTAAACATGGTTGGTATTCATGTTGTTTTTTCTATAGCTAACTTTAGTGTTGTTATTATTTTTATTTATATTAATGTTGTAGCCGTTGTAGTTGCTTCTACTGCTGCTACTCTTGTTGTTGTTATCTGGACGACGATTGCGATTAAGCTTGTTCTTATTTTTTGCAATGTTTTTATTGAATTTGTTATCGTTTTTGTTGACTACATTAACGACATTAATTTTGTTGTTGTTGTTGCTGTTGTTGTTGTTTTTGCTGTTGTTGTTGTTGTTGCTTTTGTTGAATCGTTTTAAACGCGACACGTCACTCAGTTCTGGTGAAAAAATTATGAATGACGAACAATGAAATGAAATGAAAATAAGTTTGTTTTGTTTGTTTGTTTGTACGCGCTCTTAAAAAAGTATACAAAACACAAAAATCTGCCGACATATACAAATATTTTTGTATTTTTGGCATGTGTTTGTACTTGTATGTTTGTATAGTCTTGCATGTTTGTATAGTTTTTTGTGCAATTTTGCATATGTTTCTCCAAATTTTATGTTAAAATGTTTTTGTATTTCTTTGTGTTTGTATATTTTTGAATAGGTTTGTATCCTTTTGTATGTTTCACACGAGTTTGTATCTCTGTAAATTTTTTTATGTGTTTGTATGTTTAGTATATTACGTGTTCATACATCGTAATTTGTTTGCATGTGTAATTGTTTGCATTGTATGCGTAAAACAAACAAATATTCAAACAAACAAGCAAAACAAAACAAAAACTAAATTGTTTTTTAATAAGGGATAGGATTTTTTGAGTGGGAACTGTAGCATCATAAATATAAACGTTTAAACATTTGTCTAAACGAGACTAATAAACAACGACAGTTACACGTATAAACAACAAACAATAACCACATATGAAGAACAAAATTACTCACCTCCGTTACTTCTTCTACTACTGCTTCGGCCACCGCTACTACTACTACTTAGGCTGCTACTGCTGCTGCCACCTGGGCCACACAACATGAAAGTTACGAAAGTGATGATGAGGACGTTGACGACGATGCCATGAACTTTTAAACTTATCTTCGTCATCGCTACGGAATAATTAACCACAAGCAATTAAAAATATTTGTCTTACTATGATTTCAAAATAATTGAATTTTATTTTTATTTGATTAATTATTATTGGTTAATTAGTCAATCAATTAGTCAATTAATTAATTTTCGTTTCTCACGCTTTCTTTTCTGAAAATTAATTTTAATGGCTGACTGATAATGTTTGACGATTAAGAGGGTATTTATTTATTTTATATTCTGAGTTCTGTGACTTTGAATTGACATCCGCTTATATAAGTAGGAGAACTCTCCCTCTCTCTCTTTCTCTCTCGCTCCCTCTCTCTTTCTCTTTATATATATATATTTATGTTTATATATTTATATATATATATGGTTTGATTAGATTATATGTCACTATTAATATAATTATGAATATTATTATTCTTATGAATATTTATTTTTATAGCGTTAACTAAAATTAAATAAGTTTTATCCGAAGCGCAGTCTCATCTGATAAAAGTAAACAAAATTTCGTCAGAACGAAAGTGTCAGGCATGTTGTGCATGCAAGCAACAAAAATAACATCATATTGCCTCGCTTTTTAAAAAAGTTTCACAACAAAGACCAAAAGCTATAGATGGCCTATCAGAGCTGAAACGCCGTGAAACTGCAGAAGTAGAAGATGAAATGATAATTTCGGACTCAAAATGGAGCATTGTAGTACACCATACTTGAGATTTTGTATTTCAGACAAAGTGTTTCCGTGAAACACCTGATGAGATCGATTAGGCAAACACAATCTAAGCCGCGTGAGCGCCGAACCTTTTATACCAAAGCTTTGATACAATCGCTTTAGTAAAATGTCATGATATACATAGCCGAAAGTTGCGCTCATGTCTAAGAAGGCAACCAACGATATATATCCTGATAATCCATCGCTTCACGGATGGCTGAGAACACGTGCAACCGAGCTGTTTCTGTCGAGTGATGCTCTGTCTATCCTGTATCTCTGTATCCTGCATCTTTGTATTCTGTATCTCTGTATCTTGTATCTCTGTATCTCTTTATCCTGTATCTCTGTATCTTGTATCTCAATATCCTGTATGTCTGTATACTGTATCTCTGTATCCTGTATCTCTGTATCTTGTATCTCTGTATCTGTATCTCTGTATCTTGTATCTCTTTATCCTGTATCTCTGTATTCTGTATCTCAATATCCTGTATGTCTGTATGTATACTGTATCTCTCTATCCTCTACCCTCAACTCGTCTGATCTTACATAAAGAATCGAAAATTGTTTCTATAACATCATCTCTATCATATATGAGAAAAACTGGAAACTCTAGATTAATTTTTACGTCACCATCAAAAGAACACTACTTACATATAAATAGCTGTTGCACGACGATACATGTTACATATAAACAACTGTTGCGCGACCAGCTGCTATGCGACCAGCTGTTGCACGACTAGCCCATTGCACGACGAACCGTGAAATCTTTTTCTCAAAGAATTTCCAAAATTTCCTGTTTTGTTGAGTATCAGTCCTGTTAGCATCACGAACAGAATCCCTGCAAAGGATTATCTTCAGTGCACCCCATAACTGCTGAGGCCAGTCTGTCTTTGTTTTCTTTTACTAAATAAATTATACTAGGACCACTTTTGTAGGTAATCATATGTATGTGTGTATATATGTATAAATATGTGTATGTTTGTATGAGTGTGGGTAGCGTGTATGTATATTATTACATATGTATGTTTTCGTACATTCGTATGTATGCGTATGTTTGTGTACTTATGCATGTAATTGTTGTAATTGTGTGTGTGTTTGTGTGTGTGTGGTGTGTGTGTGTGTGTGTGTGTGTGTGTGTGTGTGTGTGTGGGTTATTAATTCATATTTGTTGGTACAAAAAATTGGTCCAAGTATAATTTTTCACAAAAAAAAACTCGAATGCATGTTTGCAGTAATTTATTATTTAGAGCAGCGGCTCATAATGGAAGAATGTAAGACGTACATTTAAATTGAATGGAAGTCTCTGATTCCATTCCATTGTTTGTGTTTTGTGTATTGTAAGTTGCATCTGGTGTATTACCTTCTATTAAAATTGTATGCATTTTGTATTGTATATTGTGTGTACTGTTTGTTTATTCTGTATTGTTTGTATTGTATGCATTGAAGTATGGTAATTCGTGGATGTATACTTTGTATTGTTGTGTATACATTGTGTTGTTTGTTGTATATGAAATACTAAAACAGTTTTCTGTTTTTCCGTGTCTGTGTTTGTATGTTTTGTTGTATTTTTGTTTGTATAAGTTTGAGTGTATGTTGGTTGGTGTGTTCGTCTGTTTGTATGTATTTTTGTTCGTATGTTCGTTTGCATGTTTGTATATGGCGATGGACTTGTATTAGGGCGTGTGGCTTTTACAATTTTGCTTTTAGTTGTTTCAATTGTTAAAAAATGTGTATGTGAATCTATGTACGTTTGTGTGTGAGTGATTTTGTTTGTTTGTTTGTGCGTCTGTGAATGTGTGCTGGTGAATCGGCGTGTGGTATTAAATTAGTCTTGAACGAGTGTGTTTGTAAGCGATTTGCCCTTAGTTTGTCAGTGTTTGTGTGGAATTGTAAGTGTGTTCTTTTGTTATTTTTGTACTTTTGTTTGTTTAAATGTTTTTTATTTGTTTGTTTGTTTGTATATTTGTTTGTATGTTTGTTTGTCTGTATACTTGTTTGTATGTTTGTTTGTTTGTTTGTTTGTTCGTTTGTTTGTATTGTTTGCTTGTTTATTAGTTGCTTGCTACCCTGGTATGCCATCAACGTAGATGCTTGATTGCCTATTCAATAATCGTATCATTATCATCATCATCGTTATAATCATTATCATCACCGAACTAGTCATCTTCGTCATCATCATCATCAGAATCTTAGTCGTCGTCGTCGTCAAGCAGAAATGCCAAAACTCATCAATGAGTTGATTACGAATGATGTTATAATCATTATTATTATTTTATTATTATATTATTATTTTGTTTTTGTCTGTTTTGTCCTTCTATTAAATTAAATTAAATTAAATGTCTATGTTGTTGTTTAGGCTGTTGTTTATGTGCTGAGTAGGTTAATGTTGTTTGTGTGGTTCAGGCTTACTACTCACCTCCTGTTGTCGCTTGTGTGGTTGTCGCTTGTGTGGTTGTCGCTTGTGTGGTTGTCGTGTCGCTTGTGTGGTTGTCGTGTCGCTTGTGTGGTTGTCGCTTGTGTGGTTGTCGCTTGTGTGGTTGTCGCTTGTGTGGTTGTCGCTTGTGTGGTTGTCGCTTGTGTGGTTGTCGCTTGTGTGGCTAAAGTTGACGGCGTTCGTTCGTTCACATTTTTGCTACTTCCCTACAATCAAAACCCTCTCAAAATCGAAAGAGGTCAAAAGAGGTGATACGTACATGACTGCTAAATAATCGTATGTGAGCGCGCACACACACACACGCATACATACACACATACGTGCATGTATACATACTTACATACATGCAAGCACACATACACACACATACACACACATATATATATACATGTATATATATATGTATATATTTATATATATATATATTTATGAATGCTTAGTTAGACTGATTGAATGCTTCGAGCTAGTTCAGTTCAGTGCCCCGTAAACTTTTTCATCCCGCGGACAGGTATTGAATTTAATAGACCTGACGTTGGCTACCACCAGACGAACACAAACAAACACACATACAAACACACACACACACACACACACACACCTGTTACAATTTGTATTCAAAATAAGATAACAATAAAAAGTTTCAGATTTTTAAAAAAATTTCAACGAAATGAATGTTCCTTTCATAACATTTTCTTTACTTTCGAGCCGTTCTCAATAGGGTATTAGAAGAAATCTCTTAGCAGAAATATTTTATTTTGTGAAACTAATCGCAGGAGGCCAGTAAATCTCTTCAACTTAACAGCGTATAAATACGGTATAATGACGTAATTGCTTCCAGGTTAAAGGCTTATCTCACTACCTTTTTGCATATAACACAAATATTTCTACATGTGATACGATGCCCGGCGCTGAATATATTTAATAATTTTACTATATATAATTATTTATATATATATATGTCAATATGTATATATACATATATATTTTTGTGAAATTAGGATTTAGACCATATTCGATACAGTTTTGCTGTTTCTGTTGTTATATATATATATATATATATATATATATATATATATATATATATATATATATATACATATGAATATATGCCCAGCACCGATTATTTTAGAACCATCAATTCACTTTTCAAATATCTGGCCGTGTACACCAGCGTTATTTTTTTATGGTTTGATTAATTAATGGACAGTGGAAGATAAAACATAAAATGCGATTAGAGAGATGATTGAATTAGTGATGTAATTATGACTTTGAGTATGAACAAAATTGTGAGCACGTGTACAGCGCTTAATAATTAAACTTTTTTTTTATATTTTATTGCCATTTAAATATTAAATTGTTATTGAAGTAAATTACTAAAGACATCAGCAAAGTGCTGCAAAATTTATTTGTTTGAAATTAAAAAAATGAGTTTTGAAGGTGTTCGTGAGAAATTTTTGTTGGCCGATACGAAGACGCAAACCCATACCATTCCCTCTCTGTACAACAGTTTATCACACATGAAAGAAAACCTGGAGGTTAGTTCTGGACAATCTGGAGTCAAAGTTCAGCAACTGTTTTGCGAGATTGATACCCGCAATAATAAACAACACGTAGGTAAACAGGCATTTTCAGAGAACAACAAGAAACATCTACCATCAGTACCACTCACCAGTAAATTGCCTGCAATCTCCAGCAAAGAGTCAGCTAATAATCACACTAATAGTAGTAATAGCAACAATATTTGCAGAGTAACAACAGGCAACAATGTAAAACAAGTAAAAGCTTATTCCCCAGAATCAGCTGTGAAGCAGTTCAGCAGTTGTCTAAGTCATTACGAGATGCAAGAAATCTATGATTATCCAAAAATTTATTTTGTTGGACCAAGTGCCAACAAGCTAAGAATTAACCAGCTGGATGATAAGCTCAGCTCTTCCAAAAAGATCTTAGTTGTTGACATGAATTCCAGTAGTGACAACAACAACAACAATGGATTCGATGATGACCAGCGAGCTTATCGGCATGTTGCGCACGATCACATCGCCTACAGATATGAGGTCATTCAAATGTTGGGCAAAGGAAGTTTTGGACAAGTGGTCAAAGCGTTCGACCACAAAGATCGTGTCTACACAGCTGTTAAGATGGTTCGCAATGAAAAACGATTCCATAAGCAAGTATGTTTTTTTCTGGTCATTATCTAATTAGTTGCTAGTTCAAATGTAGGCTCATTTTTGTTTATGAGAATATTAATTTTGTAAAATGTTTAAACAGTAGTAAATAGTTTCTAGCATTTATTTAAATGTTTCCAGGCCCAAGAAGAAATTAGAATTTTGAACAACTTGAAGAGGCTGGACAAGGACAGCAAGCACAACGTTGTTCAGATTTTGGATAACTTCATCTTTCGCAATCACGTTTGCATCATGTTTGAGTTGTTGAGCATCAACCTGTATGACCTACTGAAAAGAAACAAGTTCCAAGTCGGTCCTCACATCTACACTTGCCTTTCATATGTTGATAGTTATTTGTTGCTGTTGTTTTGGAGGATGATGTTTTTAAAACAGTTGTTGTACATTATTTCTGTCAAGTTTCAAGTTCCTGCTATTATTGCTCCCATGTTTCAATAGCATATGTCTGATGAACATTGCTAACTTTTTCATTTTAAAAATTCATTTTATTTTCTTTTGAAATGAAATGGTTTTTTAAAGTCAATTGGTTTCTTATTTTAATTTATTTTTATGGTTGATCAATTTATTTTTTTGCCTCAATTAACAATTAATATCAGCTGCCCCACTTATTGAATTAATGTTGCTTCAAACCTACTAAGTTATAACTTAAAACAAACATTGTCTGAACGAAGGTAAAAACATCAGCCAATCATACAACTACAAGAGTTATGTTGAAATAATTGAATTTGATCGACCAACCAGGGCTTTGGACTGCCATTGATTCGAAAATTTGCATACTCCATACTCTTATGCTTAAACCTGCTCTATCGAAATAGAATCATACACTGCGACCTCAAGCCTGAAAACATTTTGCTGAAACAGGAAGGACGAAGCAGCATCAAGGTTGCCCAGTGTTTGTATCATCTTTTGTATCATTATTTGTTTGTGTTAACGTTTGTATTATCATCTTTTGTATCACCATTTGTTTGTATTATCGTTTGTATCATCATCATTTGTATCATCATTTGTCTATATCATCACTTGTTTGTGTTATTTTTTGATATTTATATATAATTTGCTCTTATTTTTCTTGCTTTGGATATTGACTCCACAGTGTTTCCAAACGTGATATATTTTAATATATTTCTACTTAGTGCTTTGTTAAATTATTTCAATGAACATTTTGCCCAACGGTTAGGTTATAGACTTCGGGTCGAGTTGTTACGAGAACCAGCGCATATACACGTACATACAGTCGAGGTTCTACAGAGCACCTGAAGTCATCTTAGGGGCCCGCTACGGCACCCCCATTGATATGTGGTCGTTTGGGTGCATCCTGGTGGAGCTGTTGACTGGCAGACCCATGTTTCCAGGAGAGGATGAGGCCGATCAGCTGGCCTGCATGATTGAAGTTCTTGGTCTTCCACCCAGCAGAATGTTTGAGGATGGCAAGAGGTGTGGTCAATTTATAAGCTCTAACGGAGTACCAAAGTGAGAAGTCATCCTTATTTATGTGAAGCATTCATTTTAATTTTTATACATCTGCTTCGTCACGTAATATTGAGTTGGCATGTAAATGTTTTTTCTTTGTTTGAAGGTACTGTTCAGTGGAAAAGAATCAGAAGACAGGTGAGTCTGTGTTGGTTGGCAGCAGGTCAAAGAAGGGTCGATACAGAGGCCCACCCAACACTCGACAGCTCTCGTCAGTCCTCAACAGTTCAGACAGCAACTTCCAACAGTTCATCAGGCAGTGTTTTGAATGGGACCCCAGTGAACGACTGACTCCACAGCAAGCCCTCAAACATCCATGGATCAGACAAAGCCCCACCTCTGGCATTGCCAACCGACCCATCGTCACCTCGAGAACTCTCAACAACTTGAAAGATGGCAAAGACTCTAAAAGACAATCAGCAGCAACCACGACAACTACAACCAAGTCACTTGAAAATAATTTGAACAGAGGTGCTGAAGTTTGTCGTGAAAAAAAGACCATCAGAAACTCTAGTGGGTTCGGTAAGTTAGGGAATGCCGTCATGCTAAACAATGCATTGAACTCAACATCCCGATCAACCAATGCAAAGCATAAACACATTGATGCTGTTCAGTTCAGTTGAATGCTTACCAGTGAATAAGTAATCTAATTAGATGTATATATGTTATATCTGTATGTACCTAATCAAATTGTATATTTTAATTTGTTTTTCAATTACATCATTTGTGATTCTCCATTCCATTACATATCTCGCGAAGCTTCATTGCTAAAACAAAAATTTGTGTAGCGCTAGAGTTTAAGATCAGAAAGAAATACATAGGAAGATGATAGATTTTAAAGAAGAAATTATTTTAGATATCAAACAATGAAAGATTATTGAGGAGTTGTTATTTAAAAATGTATGCCCACACAAGATTGATTGATGTTAATTAATATTTGAATGAGTCTACATGTACAACACATGTCTTCCTGATATTTTAAAAATTTATTTTTAACTATCTTCATAATTTTCATTTGCGCTAGGTCCGTTCAATTTGTCATAGTCAGACTTTCAACATTATGTCCATTCATTGTTAGATCTCACGTTATTCTCCTTTATTTCAATTTTCCAATCAGTATTTTACATTTTTTAAAAACTTGATTAATTTTACGCGTTATACTAAGTCGATTAGTATTTTATTGACATTTCAGCTGCTTGAGTTTTTCACTTTTAGAGTCTTCCATTTTTACAAGTTTTTCTAATTATTTGCATTTTCTACGTTTTACTAGCTGAGAGGCAGTATCTATACTCACTTCATTTTTCTATACTACTAATCATCGTCGCGCCATCCTATGTACCAGCAGGCATCACCCTTTGTTAAGAAGTTTAATCATCTTCATTGTGATAGCTCTCTCAAACGAATGTATCACCTCTCTACATTTAGATGTGTGTGTGTATGTGTGTGTATTTTGTACATGTGCATTTACCTAATATCCTAGAACATATGCATTGATGTATAATTTGGTATGTATTTGATATATATATATATACATTCGAAGATGTATTTGATATATATATATATATATATAAATATAATGTCCATGATCTCAAATTTGTACTATGAAAATTCTGTGATACTCAAACACATTTTATTGGAATTATTTTTTCATGTATATTTGAAAGGGTTTCCATTTTGGCCATTTAACTGCGAATTAATTAATTAACTCATTAATTAATTAATTAACTCATTAATTAATTAAATTAATTAAACTTACTTTTTATAAATATATCTGGTCATGAATTGCCATTGATATATGCATGCTTGCATTAATTAATTACTATGATATTAATAGCATGATATATATATATATATATATATATATATATATATATATATATATATATATATATATATCATATATGATACTATTTATACTTTAATTAATTATAATGATAACGATGAATAATTATATCAACATTATTGATTATACTAATTGATAACTATAATAATTTACTGGACAAGTAATTAATTAATTCATCATCGTATTCTTGGTAAAATGTAAAATTTTTGGTATTATTTTTTGATTCCTGGTGGTCAAACTATTTTTTATTTACTAAATCATTGAGAATATATATATATATATATATATATATATATATATATATATATATATATATATATATATATATATAATATATAATGCATATTTTTCATGATGGCTACACCATCATGAAAAATATGCATTTTTCAAAAGTGAATTTAAACTTGAATTTGGGCGAAATTATTTTGTGGCATTTGTTAAATTGGAAAATGCCCTCCGAGAAATTGACAAATAAATGAATGATCAATAAAATTATTTTTGAATTTTTTTTCTCTTTAGAGAAGATCAGCCCAAACAGACAAAGAATGGGATAATGTGACATTTATTTTATTTGCTGCGAATAATATAACATTTAATAAACCCTTGTGTATAATGTATGTGCGTGCTTGTGTGTGTTTGTGTGCGTATGTGTGTGCGTATGTAAAAGTTTTGCTTAATAAATTGCAAGTTCGTACTTAATAAAACGCGAATCTTAAATAGCATAATGTTAAATGTTAACACATACGCAAAAAAAAGTAAAAAATAACTATAAATTAAAACCAAATACACACATATGATGCAACAAAGAAAGAATAAAAGACAAACAAACATTAAACAAAATTTTTCGCAATGTCAATCATGGATAAGTATATATTATATTATATATATTCATGATGTCAATGCTTAAAACGGTGAAGCTGAGAATCACTTTATCTAGTGATAACGCTGGTGACGATGGCTTTAAAAAAAGTGTCGTTGATATTAAAAGTAAAGTAGTACCTACAATGAGTAACCAACGATCGAGATAAATCCATGATCACGCTGCTGATGGCGATGGTGATAAGGTGGTGGTACATTGGTTGGTATATGGTGATAAGAGATGAAAATAATGATAAGGATGATGATGACGATCAAATAACGCTCGATATGTGTAGCGATGAAGAAGAACACGATGAAGATGTTATAAGTTGTACACGTATATATATATATATATATATATATATATATATATATATATTTATATGTGGAATTATTTTACTGAAATGAAGCATATAAAATGATGTAATAGTAATAATAACTATAAAATAAAGTCAACTAAACTACATGCATAGTGTTATAAATTTCATGATTCACTAATTTAAAGATAAAATTATATAGTAACTAAACTTTTACGCTCTTTCCATACAAAAGCATTCATCCATTTTTATTCTTCATCCAGGTATGGTGAAATTAAAATAATCAATGAAACGAACGGTAGTGTTTAAAACGTTAAGAAGCAATAAAAACGTAATATCACGTATGATGCATTTTAAGAATTTCCTAAGCTTAATCAGGTTATAAATGAGTAAATGTAACGTCATAAGTATTATTTAAGATAGTACTGTTTGTTTGTGTGTGTGTGTATGTGTGTGTTTGTTTGTGTGTGAAAGTTTGTTTTGTGTGTATGTGTGGTATGTGTGTGTTTGTTTGTGTGTGTGTGTTTGTTTGTGTTTGTTTGTGCGTGTGTGTCTGTGTGTTAGTCTTTTGTTAAAAACCATAAAGCTATAGAAAGACAGGCTTAAATTAATACTGATTGGACACATTATGTTACTTTACTTAACAACACTCCAGTAGTCTTTCTACAGTACTGATCAAGTTACCAATGTAATTACAAGAGTAGTAATTATAATTTTACTACACATTAAATCATGCAGCATCTCATCTACGGCACATTCCATTAAGACGGAATTAGGTAAAAGTTTTACAATTAAATTACATGTTACATAAGTTTTACACTTACATTTACCCGAATTACATTTACAACATTTACATCTTCATTACATAACAATAATTTTAATGCTTTGGCCTTATGAGATAGCATCAAATTACATGACACATACAAGTATATCACATGCCGATGAACATGACAAGCACTGTCACACCATTACATTGGATGGAGGACCAAAATGGCAAAGTTTATAATTAATAATAATTAATATAATTAATAATAATTAATTTAATGCCTCGTATTGAAGTAAGGATCTTCTTATAAATATACAATCTCTAGATTATCAGATTATCAGTTTGTGTTTCATTAAAAAAATAAATACACACACACACACACACACACACACACACACACACACACACACACACACACATATATATATATATAACATGATTATTTTGAACAGCAGATAGGCAACATTAAATGCATATTCAGTAAGTAGCTAGTTAGCGTACAAACATACATAATAGTCAAATTATAGATTATCACCATCAGCCAATCAGCAGCCAAACCATTTTACCAATCGACCGATCAAAAACAAATGCCTAATTAACCACTACGTTCAAGATTGAGACAGTTCAATGAATGAATGAATGAATGAGCCGTGAAAAATGAACAAACAAAAGGAACGAATGAATATATATAAAAATGTATAAACAAATAAATTAAAATGTAAATAACTGCAAAAGTCAGTTAACTAATTAATGAAGTGAGTAATTGAAATATAGTGCGTAGATGATAGATGAACAAAATGCTGCAAGTGGCGCTTGTGGTAGTCATTATAAATCGCTTGGTGAGAAAAATACTCTCTGAGAAGTTTATCACACACACACACACACACACACACACACACACACACACACACACACACACACACACACACACACACACACACATACACACACACACACACACACACAGACATACACACGCGTACACACTCACACATACATATACACGCGTATAAGCAAGCATACATACACACACGTGCACACAAACTCACACATTCATGCATAGATACATAGACACGTATACACAGACATACAGCATGCATAAAAATCGCACGCACGCACGTAATGGTACAACGACAAAAACACACAACGACTTGTAACAGCGTTAAGAACACTTTCCAGCATAAACACCACACAAAAACAACAGCACTTACACTTAAGAACAAAACACACACACACAAACACTCACAGCACAAACAGTTCATAAAACACAAACACAAACACAAACATATAGCAACACATACACAAACCAACGCAAACAAACAAACAAACAATCAGATGGTAGCTCTTATGTACTGAGCACAATTCCCCTACTGGACAAATAAGAGAAAACAGTCTGGAGAAGGCCTTCGCTGTCCGCCGTCTGTGCACGGTTCAGCGCGTTCTTGTACAACTCATGAAAGATGGTCCTCAACTCCATCAATTTCTCTCGACGTTCTGACTGCGGCTGGTCGCCTCTGAATGTTGGTGGTGGTGTTGGTGGTGATGGTGGTGATGGTGTTCATTGAGATGGGTTGGTGTTGGTGGTGTTGGTGGTGTTGTTGTTCATTGAGAAGGATTGTTGTTGTTGGTGGTGTTGTTCATTGAGATGGGTTGTTGTGAAGATGAATTGATGTTATGTTGTTTTGGTTCTGTTTCTTTACATTGTGATGCTGAAACAAGTTCACAAGAAGCAGTATTGGAACATATAGATGTTACAAAAAAATAATAACGATGAAATAACTCGAAAACAGTTTGTAAATTCAGCAATCATATTCATGACGAACAATGCAAAAGCATGCAAACACTGATGCATGCATGCACAACATATGCACGTGTAACAAACTCTTGCAACCAACTTTACCCAAGTTAACACATCAGAAAAAAAAATTTCAAAATTTCTATTAAGATAAAATCTGATTAACTCATGATGAATTGCTTTATTTGTTAACAATTCAAACGAATATAATAACTGAGAGATAAATTGTGTTAAAAATCATAAGACTCACGGTGATTTTGGAGGCAGAGAGCCGATGACCGACCAGCTCTTACTGGAAAATATCGAAAAATATGCATGTAGAATAGTCATTAGTATTGAGAACAAAAAATTATATTCAGGAGAAAAAATTATTCTAAATCACTTTGGAAGAAAATTTTATATGGAATCATCTTCACACATGACTGCTACAGAAACGAATACAGAGACAAAGATAATGAATGACTGACAAACACCTGGCTGGAGACATTTAACCCAACTACAAAGAAACAACAATAGACAAGCTTCTAACAAAAAGGTACATCAGACACAAACCGCCAGACGACATGAAGCACATGATCAAAAGTGCTGTAGCAAAATGCAGGAGCAAATTCATAATCAGGAGACCGACTTAATGGCGGGACGAAGAAAGACAAAAAGATGAGAACAAAAGTTGAGGAACATCATTGAGGCTGGCAATGGCAACAACAACATCAACAACAACAACAACAACATCAACAACAACATCAACAACAACAGCAACAACATCATCAACAACAACATCATCATCAACAACAACAGCAACATCATCAACAACAACAAAACAATAATACCTAAAGGTTGTATTGAGAGGCGAAACATTTGATAGTTGAGAATTTTGTTGTTCCTGCAGAGGCTGCCTCTTCACCTTGATGGGCACCGACGTCGACTTGGTGGACGCAGACGTCGAATGTTCGTCGATCTCCGAGATGGAAATGTTCTCAAAATCGTTTTCGGCGGACGTGTCGGCCATATTGAAGCTGTCATTCTTGTTGACGTCATCCGCGGCTTGATCGGAAGATGTCAGGAAGAGTGAAGCGCTGTCATTGTCGTTGATGATGTAAGGGTCGTTGATGTCGTCAGTGGTGGGCTGCTGCTGCTGTTGCTGTTGATTATTGCAACCCTTTTTTGAAGAGTTGGTGGTGTCTGATTGGTCGGCATTTTTCAACTGATCGGCCAATGATAGAGCAGATGCTGGTGTACTATTTTTAGTTGGTGATTGGAAATTTCAACGTCATTATTATTATTGTTAGTGTAATTATTAATATTACTGCAGTTATTATCATAATAATTATTATTATCATTATTATTGTTATTACAAGTAGTTGTGTAACCATTATCATCATTGTCATCTATTATTATTATTATTATTATCATTTAATTTATCATTTCACTAGTTATAATCACAGTCATTTTCATAATTTATTAGTTAATTAATGATTGATTGACAGATGAAAGCAGATGGACAGAAAGAGTTAGGCAGTCAATTAGAGAGACAGACATACAGACAGACAGACAAACAAACAAATAGACAAACAAACAGACAGAGAGACTAACCTATCACTATTCTTCTCTTGTTGTTCTTGAACAGATTCTGACCAAGTACATTCAATAACGTGATTTTGACACATACGATTAGCACAATAAAATTTAGATTTAATTTAATAATTAGTGTAATAATAGCATTTAATGGATAATTTGGTAATTGCGAAAATAGGAAAAAAATTTCAAACCGATGATAATTAATAGAAGTTCCTCAAAATAAGCATGCTACAAAATTTAAAGTATGACAAACTAAATACAATAAATAAATAAATAAATGAATAAATAAATAAACAAATGAATTAATGAACGAAAGAATGCATGAAAAATGAATGAATGGGTGAATGAATAAATGAATGAATGAACAAATAAACAGTTAAACAGGGGTGGGCAAACTTTCTTCGGAGGGCCACATAAAAACAAGTAGCTGATTTCGGAGGGGCCCCCGTTAATTATAAAAGCTACAAACAACTGCATATCTCCACAATAATTTCAAAAACAAGTTGAACATAATCGAAAATGCTGGCAATAATTTTTTTTAATAAATTTCATGAGAAGCAAACGAAACCAGACTAGCAGTTTAAGCAAATAAAATTCAATAATTCAGCACCGAATTTTTTTTACATTCAAGCATAAAACATTACTCCACGGAAACATGTAGAGAGCGTAGACTCGAATATTGGAAGAAGTTTGACAGCCAAGTTTGTAAATGAGCTCAGTGTAAACTTTTCACAAATTCGGCTTTCCAACTAAATATTTGAATTAAAATGTAAAAAAATTCAAAAATATTTGTTTGCTTGTAAAACTAAATTAGGAAAAATGTTCGCGGGTGACAAAACATGGCTGGTGGCCCGCGGATCGTAGCTTACCTACCTCTGAGTGAGTTAAAATACTATCTAACCTCCTGGTACTGTGGAAGACAAGTTTTGAGATCTGTTGAAGAAAAAAAAGAAAACAAAATGTGTCATAAAAATAATTTTCATCACCCTCATCCATCATTTATTCAAGGTCATCAAAACGCGCCATTTTGCATTAGTCATAAAAAATAAATAGATGTGTATAATTGCCCAGGGGGGTATGGGAGTAGCCACGGAGAGGCTATAGAGCTTCAAACCTCCACCCCTTCAACGGATAGTTTTTAGAGTTTAGGTAACTTTCGAAAAACCCCTATATAAAATTTAAACTTATAAAAAACAGTATATCAAAAAGCTGTTTTAAAAAGTTTTATTTATGAAAAATTTATTAAAAAATTAAACAAAAATAAAGATTATGACGAACATTTCGTAGATGTTGTACTCATCATTCAGGATCTCTTTCAGGAAAGTGAAGCAAAAGAGAAAAATCTGCGATGATAAAATCAATCAATCAATCAATCAATCAATCAATCAATCAATCAATCAATCAATCAATCAATCAATCAATCAATCAATCAATCAATCAATCAATCAATCAATCAATCAATCAATCAATCAATCAATCAATCAATCACTCAATCAACCAATCAATCAACCGATCAATCAATCAATTAATCAACCAATCAACCGATCAATCTATCTATCAAAATAAAACTTGCTTCTTCTCCTCTTTTATTTCGTACAGGAAAACAGTGTCTGTGGGTGAAGGAATACAACAAATGAATGAATGAATGAATGAATGAATGAATAAAGAACGAATGAATTGAGTGAAAAAAAAGAAAGAAACAACGAAGACAAAAAAAACTCAGGCTTAAAATTTAAACTCAAAGAAACACATATGTCGTGTATTATATAGTGCTTAAACTAAACGCCAATGTTAAATTATATCTGTGACGTACCAATATACAAACATAAAATACAAACTACTTAATATAAATACAAACATAAAATACAAACATAATGTACAAACATAAAATACATACAGACACAATGAACAAACAATAAGACAGCCAACCAACCCAAAAAGATACCAATCATAAGCCACAGTGAGGTACAACATCTCAAGGACTGATAGTGACTGGTGGATTGCTCCGTCTGCCCATAAGGTTAACCTGTTTGTTTGTTTGACTGTTTGCTTGTTTGTTTGCCTGATTGTTTGTTTGTATGATTGTTTGTTTGTATGATTGTTTGTTTGTATGATTGTTTGTTTGTCTGCTTGTAAGTTTAAACTGGGTGCTATGGCTCATTGAACCACGTTTAAAAGTCTAAAAAATTGATTTTCTACAGGTAGGTAGGTACAACGAAAATTGAAGCACTTGAATTGCAAAGTAACAGAACATCCAAAAAGTAAAGTGATGAATTAATTTAATGTAGAAACATGACAATGCCATTCAATCAAACTTTCTCAAATTGAAAAATGGATCATTAACTATTATTTCATAAAATATAAAAAAAAATTTTCAATTCAAAAGCAGCGGTAGCGATTTTATCTTAGATTCAAAAGTAACGCCACTACTGTTCAACCAACCAACTAATTAACAATCAACTAATTAACCAACCAACTAATTAACCAACTAATTAACCAATCAACTAATTGACCAATCAACTAATTGACCAACCAACCAATTAACCAACCAATCAATCAATCAAAAAACCAACCAACCAATCAGCAGGCCAACCTGAGTAGCGAGATGAATAGAGGCGTCCTATCCCATCCTGAAATGCAGTGGACCAGTACACTCCTGTCACCTGGATGCAAATCACATCAACGTTCTCCATCGCATACCACATATACACCGTATAACACATCGTCGTATAATTATTTTTGTCTTGGTTGTCGTGTGTGCGTTGTGTGAATTGAATGTGCAATTTGATTGAATGCGTGATTTGCAGTTGTGTGTGTGTGCGTGTGTTGTGTGTGTGTGTGTTGTGTGTGTGTGTGTGTGTGTGTGTGTGTGTGTGTGTGTGTGTGTGTGTGTGTGTGTGTGTGTGTGTGTGTGTGTGTGTTGTGATTGTATGTATGTATGTGGTCACAGAAAAAAGTACAAATGAAATATGTCAAGTAGTAGTGAGAACTGAAGCAGCCATAAAATGACAGCTTACTAAATTTAAGGTAGTACAGTATCAGCTTCAAGTAATTCCTCGTCAGAGTCATCAAATCCCATTCCTACAAAGTACCAAGTTCCAAAGTATCAGTACCAAAGTCTTATAATTATTATTAATTAATTAATTGGGTTATTATTATTTATTATTATTATTATTAAAACCTTATAATCTTCCCATTTAATGCCTTCAGGTGGGTCAAGATTTTCCGGAGATTTGAACGTTGCTGTTATATCGGCCTGAATTATCATAAATTAATCATAAATTAATCATAAATTAGCATAAATTAATTTACACTATTGATTGTATAATTAGATACAATTAATTAGAAATTAACAATTAATTAATTAATTTACAATCTTGGCTTGGTATAATAATTGGTTAAACAATGACAACAACAACCCGTTATGACAACGACAAACAACAACAACAACACATCACCACAGCCACAATGACAACAGCAGCACATCACCCCGACAGCCACAAACAACGACACATCACTACAAACCGCCTTCCAATTGAAAACGAGAGTCTCAGGCACGTATTTTCTTTCCTTCCACTCCTTGAAGTACTCACAGCCGGGGTAGGGCAAAGATGAGAGTCGGAATTTTTGGTACTCATCATCGACTTTCTCTGATGATGAGAAGCTACAATATTATTATTAGTAAATGATTATCATAGGTTAATTTGCATCTTCTTCCTCCATTTTTTCTGATCAAACAAAATTAACCAAAATAAGTTGATGACAAGAGATGATATAAAATCCAAAAAGTAAACTAAGTGTCGACAGGTATGTAAAGTGATAAAAACAATTAGTGGCTTCATCATCTAGCGAAGTTTCGTTCACTCAGATGACGGTAGAGATGAGATATCTTCATTTAGTTCTTGGCTGGAATTTGTTTGGTCTATCCTTTTACTGTCAACCTTCTCTGGGGACAAGATGGCATAACTTTTTTGGTCATTAGTTAGATGGTTGATTGGTCAGTTTGTTAGCGAGGGTGGAGCGTACGTGTTTGGTTGAATGACCAATTAACATAGACGTTGAAAAAACTGCGTACGCTATAGCAGAAATGAAAGTGAAGTGATTGCAGGAAAGATCTTATAAGATGGCAAGACTGTGATTGTAGAACATGCTTTAATTATGCCTCACGTTCTACATTCTAAACATTTTTTTGCGTAAAATATTATGCAACCATTCCAGCACACACGACAACGCTATCATTCTACGAAAGCAGGTAGCAGTGAATTAGTAGAAACGTCAGTTAACTCACTTGAGGTAGTACTTGACCTTGCAATCTTCAACCATGAGGTCAAATATGTAGGACACTTTGAACATCTTCAACAGCTTAATATCACTAGACCTTGCACTGCGTTAGCAATTTGAATGGACAATAAATTTAACATGAGAATGGAGTGTCACAAGCATATCTAACGATTATTTCTGTTCAAAATGATAGTCAATATATATTCGGCAAAGAAACCGTAGATTTTTTTGATAGTTTTGATATAAACAATCCTCAAACATTAAAAACTTTTCCAAACCATTCAATATTCTTGTGACTAAAGTATGAAGGTACTAAAAAAATTTAGTAAAAACTCATGGCCAACCCAAGAAGGGAGGCAACATCATAAGGCGATAGTATCTCTTCGTCAGTTAAATCTTCAAGTGAGCATTTAATGACACTCTCCTGACTCTGATCGGAGTCAAACGGAAGGTTTCTTGGAGTTGTGATGGAGTAGACAGCATTCATGCACGATCTGAGCATCATCTCTTTGGCAACTGCCAACGTAGATGACCTACATATGTGCTGTGTGTGTGTTTGTGTGTGTGTGTGTGAGTGAGATGATCGAAAATGATCGAGGGACAAATCCTGAAGTCCAGTTGTATATGGTGAAGTAACATTGAAGCAGTATTTACAGAATTGTTTTTAATGACTCTTTTTCTCTCTAACTCTCTCTCATCATACAAACAGAAACATAGGTTTTAAATACTTCATATTATATAAATTAATATTTGCAAGAAGGCATAGCATGCAATAATTAGAGTCTTAAAAACGTTAGTGCACTGTCCTACAATGCTTACAATTTATAATGCTACACAACTCAAGAGAGCATCTTACATGAAGTCATAAAAAAAAACACTACATTATAACTAGAGAACCAATCGAAAACGAAATACGACAACACAGGCAACACAACAACAACAACAACAATAAAAGAGTATGATTGTCTTAATAGATGGATCCCAACCCACAAACCTTGCCTTCAAACAGTATGACAGGCACCACAAATCTCTCTCGGCAACGACCTATTTTAGCATCGTATATCAGATTGTGCAGCTCAACGCCATTGTATGATGATCTGAATCTGCATTGACATTTTAAATATTTGTCTTCATTAATATTAATTAATTAATTAATTCATTCATTCATTAATTAATAACTAATCTTTACTGATACATGAAATAGAAACATGATAAGTTCAGTAACCTTTTAATTTTTTAACAATTGTCTACTAAAGCATAATAAACAGTTTTTATCATTTTTAAATTTTAGCACTCAAATGTACAGAATATATTCTTGGCATTGCAAAAAGTAAAAAGAAGAAACTATCTAATGGTCAAGAGCTGGTTGAACCAAAAATTTTGATTAATTGAGACAAACACACACATACACACACGCGCGCGCACACACACACAAACACACACAGAATAACTATTTTTAAAGGTCAAAATGTAGAAAAAAAAAAACAAAAAAAGTTTGACTACAAGGACAAACACAATTGCATAGTAATATAACACACTATGAAATTAAAAAGATAGAGATAGCATTGGTATTAAAATTAGCATAGAAGGAATGGCAGAAGTGTGTGTTGTTCTGAATGCTAAAGTTAATTTTTAGAAAATTAATATTCACAAACATAAAAATAAAATTACTGGAATAAATAGAAATATAAAACAATACACAGAGAGTACTGATAATAAAATCAAAATAGTAGTTAAAATTAAGTCTACACAGCATGCACATATGCAAAATTACAGCCAAATGAAAAGATAAACAAGAAAAACAACCAAAAATAATAATAAAATGCATTAAATAATTGAGATAAAACATAATCAAAATTGAAATAATCAAAATTAAAAAGTTCACTTCTCATTAGTATTAGTCTCTGTATTAAGCTGTTCTAAGATAGCAATCTTTTCTGGGTAGTGGTCACATAGGTTGCCATCCGTATTATTAATTAACTGCCATCAGGTCAAATTGAGACATTAACCAAAATTTATTTATTTATTTATTTAATGGTTAATGGTTATTTATTTATTTAATGGTTTATTTATTTATTTATCTGAATGTGTGGCATTCATTGGGACATTTTTCTTAAATTATAAAATAAATACAATTCTGAATGAAAATACTCGGAATGAAATCATATTTACAGAGTATTTATAATCCTTGCTGAAGAGCCTCAAGCAGGTTTCCATGATCTGTGCACTCTGTGTTCAATTATTTGAAAAATGTTAAATAATATTCAAAACTTGTGATGTAACTGTAAAAAAGTTTATCAACTGAACTAAACTTTAATAACAAATTAGAAGACATGTTGTTGTAATATAACTAGCAATAAAACTTTTTAAATTAAATTTTTAAACAGACTAATAAAAGTAGTAAAGTAAGTTAAAAAGTTAAGTTAAATAGAGATAGTGTAATATACTAATATATATAATACTATATAATATAGTAGTATGTAATAGTATAAATTATAAAACTTCTTTACTCAAGCTCAAACCTTACACTTCACAAATTTACATTATTAGCAAAATGAAATAAATACTTGCTATGCAAACTAAACTTAGTTTAATTTAACAAGGCTTAAGTTTGTTAAATTAAGTTAAGTAAGAGTAAGACATAATAATTAAAACTTAAAAAAGAAAGTGTGAGTTTAATTTAGCTTTTTAGCTTTAGTAAGTTTATTCTTCTACAAGTTAATTAATATTAAATGAAACATGACTTAAAACTCCTTAATATTAATATTATTAATATTAAGAAGTTAAGTCATGTTTCATTTTCATGTAAATTATAAATAAATTTAAGCATTTAATGTTCAATATAATTTATATAACTATAATATAAATATGTCATAATAATATGAATGTTTTTATACCTTGGGCTCTTTTGTGCTGACCAGATAACTGTTTTTGAAACCACAATAAATCAGGTCTTCTATGGCTTCTCTAGTAATTACTTCTTCAACTTCGGCAGCGGCCATTTTTTTCTTTAGTTAGATAATAAAACTAATTGAAATTTTTAATTACCTAATTATGCAATGCAAACCGGCAAAGTAACTAAAGTGTAGCAGTGGGTAATATGAAGTTTTCTGTATGCGTGCAAGACGGGATTACGAAATTCGCCATATGCAATATTGTTCTTTGGTTTTATAGGACTAAATATCTAAATATACTGTCTATGCTTTCGTGAACTTCCATATATACTTATATATATATATATATATATATATATATATAATATTATATATATAATATATTATATTATATTTGTTATATTTTATTATAACATGTTATAACTAAAAATATGACAAAAGACAAAACTTATATATAAAATCTATAAAAACTGTTAATAAACTCCACTAGCATTCTGCAATTTGTCATTATCAATAATCTCTATAGGTATTCAACATGAAACTTGAAAATAATTGACAGTTAACGTGGATAGTCTGGTGCTAGTCTTTATTTGTTATTTTAAGTAGCTAACAAGATGAGTTACCGACGGTGAGTACCACATATTACACAATATATGTAAGTTAAGAATGAATAGAATAAAATAAAGCAATTTCTGTAATAATATTTTATGAAGTCTAATCAATTATTATTCTTCAACAATTAGTATATCCCTTCGTGTACTTCCATCATCTGACAATTCATTCAAACGGAGATTCCTGGAGATTTTTAGTTTATAAACAATAATATGCTTGGTTATAATGCCATTTTATTTTGAAATGGTTTTTTACCTATTGATATCTATATGATGTATAAAGCATAATATATATTTTTTATGTTTGTGTATTCCTGTATTGTGTGCGTATGTGTGTACCATATATTAAATGTAGATAAAATGTACAAAAGAAGATGTAATAAAACAGCATCAAGTAAATTCAAACTTTGATAATTTCAATCTTTAAACTTTGAGAAAAAAGTAAACCGTGATCGTGTATATATATATATACATGTATAACAAATGCAAAGCATTCATATAACATAACAGATGCGTGCATTTGTTCAGTTTACTTTACAGACAACTGAAATCTTTACAAACTTAGATTAACTTTTAAAACATTTAAAAGTTGACATGGCGAAGTTGTGCGAGGAAGGTGATAAAAAGGTGATTCTACATTCTGCCTTTCACAATGAAACTCTCAGAAGATGGCAGTCACTCAACAGTTCGCTCTGCATCGATAATTTTATGTACCCCGTCTTTATAACGTTAGTTAGTTTGCTTTATTGTAACATTAATTTTCATTGATAATTAATATTAATTAATTATTAAATACAGTAGAATTAGGTTAAGTTAAGTTAAGATTTAAGAATGACCATCATTTCTGTTTCTCTTTGTCTCTTCTTTGTGACTTAGTTAAAATATCACTTATGTTGTCTGAAGCTGAAAGTGAAAGTCTGTTATAGTGTTATAAAAGAGAGTTAATGTCCTATACTTTTTAATTAATTTGATTAATGCAGAGATTGTAACACTGCAATTTAAATTTGTTTAACTTTTTGTTAATTAGCTGTCACTTACTTAATTACTTACTTTACAATTTAATTTACATTATAATTATAAGAATGACTTTATTTATTTAGCTTTGAATTATGATTAGTGTAGTGTATTTTTACTTTATTTTATACATCACATTTTATCTTTAAATCGCAGTTGCTACTGGCCTAATTGTTAGATAATTATATAATATAACTTTCATTACAAAACTGAACATTAAGATTTTAAGAAAATTCTGATTGAGCCATCTATTTTAAAAAGTTCTTATTTTATATTTATATGCATGAAAATACCTGTAATTTTAATAAATTTTCACTATTAAAAAATTCCTGAAGTGATGACGACAATGGTGAAGAAGAGATCTCTTCAATGCCAGGAATACTGAGGTTTGGGTGTGTTAAGGTGGTTGAGCATTTGAGGCCACTTGTTAGGTTGGGTCTCAATTCTGTTCTGGTCTTCGGCGTACCCAACAATGTCATCAAGGTTGGATGGAGTTTGGGTCTCATTGCCAATTTTTTTCATTTCATTTGGTAGATTTATATATATATATATAGTTCATCTTGATTTTTCAGGAGATAAGACTTATTTTTTAGTAGCAGAAGTTAAAAATGTGAATTATTTTAGAAAGCTATTTTTATTGAATTTCATTTATCTGTTATCTTTCTTAGATGTCTTGGGTAATTTATAATTTATTAAAATTTTTATTACTGTCACAGGTTCATTTAAGAAATAGCATTTTTTGTTTTTAATTTTTTTTTTAGAATTTTCTAAACTAATGAAAAAAAATAATTGGATGTAACACAAAACAGATCACTATGAAGCATTAATAAATAGACATTGTACTTCAGATCTTAAACTATCATGTTTGAATTAAGGGATGATGATAATGACGATAGTAAAACTCATGATGTGAATAGTGATGTGGATTATGACGATGATAGTGAAGATGGCGTGATACTTATATACTTATGATGATAACAGTGATGATGATAGAGATGAATGTTTGTGTGAATCTGTGTGTTTGTGTCCTTTTAAAAAAAAGGTTTACAAGAGAAAATTTCACTTCTTGAAATGTTTTTCTTTTATTTACAGATGATACCAATAAACTTTACAAAACAACGGGCTAATATTTTTGGAGGAATCAAATTGAGAATATATACATATTATAATGAATAATACCAAAAAATAAATTTGAAAAATGAAATAGGACGGTAGAGGCAGTTCGGCGGACATGAAAGAATCAGTCGTCATAAGGGCTATTAAGTCCATCAAGCAGTTCTTTCCTCATCTTCTTCTGGCCTGTGATGTGTGTCTCTGTGCCTACACTGACCATGGGCACTGTGGTTTGTTTCTTCTTCCTCTTCTTCCTCTTTTTCTTATTACTATTCTTTTTTAGATATTCCGCAGAGGTTATTGCAAGAAGGACTCAGTGTATAAATACATGTGATTCGACGCATCACACACTTTTTACATGTGATGGGCGGGGATATCTTCATATTCAAGCCCGGAGACTGCGTCAACAATGCCAGGCACCTTAATCATTACGCCATTGCCACATCAACATCAGTTTTATTTCTTGATATATTTTATTTGTTCATTATTTTTGCTTCAAGATAATTAGCAACATGTTTAAAAGCAATGTCATTATTGCTATTGCTATTATTATAATTATAATTCATACAAATTATTACCATTAATATCACTTTCCTTGAATGCTAATCAACTTTTATTATGGTAACTAATTATGGCCAAAAAATTTGGTTAAATTACCATTGTAAATTATTTTAAGATTATTTAAAATTAGGAATCCTTCGAGAAGACAGCACAATTGACAACGACGCAAGCATAGAACGTTTGGCAGAGGTAGCCCTAGCCTACGCCAAAGCTGGTATGTAATGCATTAATTAAACCCATTTCATGTGATGATTTTTGGATGGATATCTGATATTTTATTGTATTGTAAAGTTGGTAGTAAAAAAAAAACATTATCACTTCACAGGGTGCGATGTTGTGGCGCCATCTGACATGATGGATGGTCGAGTGGGGTCCATCAAGCAATCACTAATTAGGGCAGGATTAGGCAGTCAAGTGGCCATCCTCAGTTACAGCGCCAAATTCGCTTCTGCTTTCTATGGGCCTTTCAGGTTGAATTTTTTATTTTCTGTCACTCTCTTGCAGCAAATGAGTCAAAGATCTCTATGTAATTTATTTAGAAAAAGCACTATATAAATATTTATATAATAATACATACATACATACACACATACGTATACATACATGTATTCACAAATACTTACATGAATATACACACATACACAAACAAACATGGCACATGCAGAGACGCAGCCAAATCAGCTCCATCATTTGGAGACAGGAGATGCTATCAATTACCTCCAGGGTCACATGGCCTGGCTATGAGAGCTGTTGTAAGTTGTGACGTGTCGTTGTGGTGTTTTGGTGTGTCGTGATGAGTTGTAGAGTGTCACTTTATTGTTGATTGTGGTTTGCAGTAAGATTTTTCTACGTGATTTCAAGGTTATATTGTCTAGATGAATGTGATCTGATGCTATGTGATGTACTATTATTTGGGATGAAGCAATTAAAGTTTGTGAAAACAAGCGAACGGGAAAATTAATTCATTTCTTTAATATATTTTGATGTTATTTTGACTCTTCTTGATCTCATGTCTGAGACTAAGCAGGTTGTTTTAATATAATTCAACAACTTACCATACTCGCACACACGCGCGCGCGTTCACGCACACGTCTATGTAGACACACTTGCACTCATGTATATACACACACACACACACGCACGTACACAGGCACGAGATGTTGAAGAGGGTGCAGATATGTTGATGGTGAAACCGGCCATGGCGTACCTTGATGTTGTCAAGCAGACGAAGCAACAGGCGAGCAGAACAACTGTTTAATTTACTTAAAATTAACTATACACATACATACGCGCACATTTTCAATAGCGATATACATATATAGTCATTCAATGAATTGATGCAATAAATGTTACATTATATTACATACTTTTATAGTGATTTGTACTCAATTCTCATCAATACAAATCCTCTTATACAAATCCTGTAAATTGAGTACCAAAAATCAACCGTCTGCAGTACCCGGAGTACCCGCTAGCGGTATATCAGGTGTCAGGGGAGTACGCTATGATCTGGCATGGTGCCAAAAGTGGCTCCTTTGATCTCAAGAGGGTGCTTTTTGAAACCTTCCATTCAATGAGAAGAGCCGGTCAGATAGACTTTTTTTTATCATGGATATATATAATTACCCATTTATATCCATGCGTTTTATTTAAAATTTGTTATAAATCATTAAAAAATTATTAATAATTAAAAAATTACTACCTAAATAATAATAATGAGGTTATTAATAATTTTATTTTATGGTTTAAACTAGCGAATTTCCATTTTCCTAATTTTGTCTTTCCCATGGTATAGGGGCAGACATCATCATAAGTTACTACACTCCACAGATGCTTGCATGGCTCGCCGAGGAACATAAAATCAGATCGAATCTTTGATGCTCACCATTCATATCTCTGTTATGAATTTTCTGTCAAAGCTGTTTAACATAACTTAGGTTACTTCAAGTTAATTTACTCAAGTAACATCAAGTTACTCTTGAGTCATTTCAATTTCATGTTGTCTCGTTGTTTCTATGTTGTTATATTTCTTGTTTTATCGTTATTTCGTTATCTATGTTGGACTATTGTTTCTGTGTTACTTTGTTATATATGTTATTTTGTATAATATGCTAGTTAGTCTGTATCTGATGTATTTATTTTGTTGCTCTTTAGCAGTTATCATTGTTTATTATTTGTTCACTATATTCAATGTAAACTCGATTGATTTTATATTTATTATTTTTAAAGTGGTACTCGTCTTGTACGTTTTGTTTCATTCTATCGTGTTTGAAGTTTATTTTTAATCAAATCAAAATGGTGGAAGTTCTCCATTGATTTAACTTATTAATGATCATCATCTACGTGCGTATGCAGGCATTACTCGTTAAGCCTGATTATTATCAATTATATTTTATATTTCGTCTGATTCACGACCAATCATTTATTCGGCTCTTATGATTTTAGAATTTTTGGTTTTGTTTCGCACTGATTTCTCATAAATTTGACATTTTATTGCTTGATTGAACTTTTTCCAACTTGAGTTTATTATCACAGATGAAAAGAAATATTTAAAATTTTGTATTTAATATTTATTTCATAATTTAAAGACCCGAACCTTAACCGTTAATTCTAGAAGAGCAATAATTTCATTATTTTCAATATTTTGACGAACAGTTGTCATCATTACATCCATCACTTATATTTGAAAGTTTTTAAAAATGACCCAAGAGTTATGAAAAATGGCACAAATTTCGTGTAGTTGTTTCACAATTGATGAACTAACAACAAAGAAACAGAAATAAAATTAATTAACATAATCAAGATACAATATTAAGAGAATAGGCTGCATGAACTAAGCTAAACCGACTTGAATGTGTCTCACGGATAGTCTTTCAACTAAATAATGTACTTTTTTTTATCAAAGAAATTATCTTATGACGTTTAATACTATTAAAAATAGCACATTTAATAGGGAATAAACAAAGTCATTTTCAAATATAATATACTGACTAATCATAAAACAACTAAATTTAAAACTGATAAAATATTATGGTAAAAATTAAAAAACTGAAAAAAGTTGTATTGGGGTGTTGGGAGGGTGCCGACAATGAGAACCTCATCCAGCAAGTACGCAGACAAATGCAATCAGACAACACTTGTTTCTCTGAAGCAAGTTCATCTCTTCATTCAAAAACTAGAACAAAAATCGTTGTTTAAATCTCACTCCAATGTGTCTTTAAAATTGAAATTTGAGATGAGACAAAGCAAGCCAAAGACGCCGTCCGTAAGCCGAAAATTTGAAAAATTATCATTGACAAATTCAAGTAAGCAGGGCCAAACCAACGTAAGATAACCAGTCAGTCAGTGATGGATACTAATTTACAATACAATGAATCAACATATATCCAATACCAAGGACGTGGTACAAATTTAGTATACTAAAATATAATAATAATAATATAAAATATATTAATATAAATACCTGATCTGCATTAATGGTGTTCCTCTGGAAAGCCTGCAAGACAACGTTCGTAACGTCAGCCTGATGCTCCAGACTCAATCCCGAACTATGAATCAACTGATTGTTGTATGGAATTGATGAATTGAGAAAACGAATTGTTAGAAGCAACAGACTTTAAGTAATATAAATGACTTAATATAATGAATATAATATAAATAAATATAATATAAATAATATATAAATATAAATAATATAAAATAATACCATGGAGTTTATCAATATTTAGACGACTGTAAGTTGTTTGCGAATGTATAACACCATTATAGAACATAAAAACTACCAAAAACTATCGTTAGATGGCTGAAAAACAAGTCACATGACATTTCATTTTAAAGCAGGTATGGTTACGTAGAAAAAAAACTTGCCAATAACTACAACCTATTGCATCATATAAATGCATCACATACACACAAGCAGTAGCGCAAAAATAAATTTCTCAAGTCTGGTAAGATATTTGATACAACCACAACACAACACATACAACAAATACCACACAAACACACACCACACACACACGGAACATACACACATACAACACACAAACCTTTATGTGGT